CAGCCCCACAGCTCCATGCTCCTTTGGGCTCTCCATATGAGGCTGCAGAGCCATGGTTTAAGTCCTTCTCAGAAAGGCAGGGCTTATCTCATTTCTGAGGACGGGAGAAATATTCCATAGGGCAGGGGCAATGGCAGAGAAGGCTCTCTTCCCAGATCCTGTCAGTCAGAATTCTTCACCTGACAGACTCTGCAGCATACCTTCCCTGCCTGACTGGGTGGGATGGGCCTATGTAATGGGATGAACCCAATTCTGTAGTTACCCTGTCTCATGTTATATAGGGCTTTATAGGTCACAACCAACACTTTGAATTGGACCCAGAAACAAACTGGCGCCCAACGTAGTTCACTGAGCAGAGGTGTTATATGTGCCCTTCTTTGGGCACCTGTATAGCTCGTGGTACATTTTGCACAAGCTGAAGCTTTCAGATACTTTTAAAGAGTAGCTCCATGTAGAGTGTGTTGCAATAGTCCAAACAGGTGATAACTACGGCATGAGTGACTGAACAGAAAGACTCCCTTATCCAGAAAAGGGTTTAACTAGTGCACAAGATGGAATTGAGCAAAGGGTCTCCTAGTCACAGCTGCCACCTGCTCCTCAAACAGAAGCCATGAATCCAAGAGGACCTCCAGCTTACACAGGGTGTCTGGGGCAGTGCATCTCCATCCAAGACCAAAGATGATAAATTCCTGGATACAGAGGGCTCACCCACAGCTATTTCTCAAGGTTCTGCTGAAGTCTATTGTTTCCCATCCAGCCTCCCACAGCCTCCAGGCTCCATGAAAGAACCTCCACAGCATTACTTACTTCACCTGGGACAGAAATTTATAACTGTGTACCATCAGCATAATGGTGATACCTCATCTTGTGGTGACTAATGAACTCACCCAGTGGTTTCATTTATATATTAAAAAGGAGTAGAAAAAGCACCGAGCTCTGTGGCACCCCACAAAGCAGGAGTTGTGAGCTGGACATTTCCTAATTTATCAGATTACACCAGCCTCCTTTAGTTTGTAGTTTCCAGATCCATTAGCCAGAATGGGTGGGAATTAATATGATGGTGTTTCAGAAACAGGGCTCCAGGTGGAATAAGCTAAAATACTTAAAATACTGAGTTAATTATACATAACAACAGATGAGGAACTGGGGTTGTAATAACATGTGAAGGAGGAATACAACTGATACATTTTGACTTACCTCATTCATTGTTTCCACTCCCCAAAGGTAGTGCATTTGCCCTTCCCCTAAACATAGAGCAAAGCTTCATACTAGAAGTATGACGTATTCAGGCATAGAACAGTTTGGAAGTAGAAGGTAGGAACAGTTTTTTAGGATTCTCCCTTACACTTACCAGATCCCATCAAACAAATTTTAGAGACTTATATTTGCCTGGAAGATTTTAAGTTTGTTTTTCTTTGCCAGTAGTGTGGTATTCTTTTCTGCCAATGTCTTTACTAGATTTCTTTATTCTGACATTTCATTACCTCATGTTTTCAGCACTTCATGTTTTCAGATTCTCATAATTTGCTCTGCCATTTTCCCCACCAGTTACAGCAGGTCAATATTATAATCATGCAAGAAATTCTCACAGTTAAAAGAATGTTCTGTGAAAGACCTGTATTGCTCATTAGCTGTATTGCTCATCACCTCTATAACTAAAACTAATGTTTTTAAAAAGCAGAATTAAGAGCCCATCCTGTTTGAGAGAAAATCCAGGATTGCTTAATGCTATTGCTTAAGCTGGTTTTGCTAGACCTCACCCACGCATGGTGTATGTCAGTACAAGAGCTGGCAAGCAAATATGGAGACAGTGCAGTTGATTTCTCTATTTGTATGGAGTCGGATATATCTAGCACATCTTTCTAGCATGTTTTTACAAAACTCCACTGAGAAAACATAATTCAATCATCCATTTCAATCACTGCTGTTTTAAACAGTTAGCCTACTATTGTTAACTGGGTTAACAAGTTATAACAAAGAACCAGAGTCATCACAGGAGTATTGCAAAAGGATTACTTAGATCAGAAATGTTAATCCAACCCAGAGGGCAGGAAAAATGTGTACTTCTACGTAGCCCAATCATCTTCTGAAACTGTTTTAAAATGAATGTGTCAATTTTAATTTTTAATTTGGTAAAGATTGATAAATCAATGTAACTCATAAAACAAAAGTTCTTTTGGAGTCTTCCAAAATTATTAAAAGAGAGAATGGGTCCTGAGAGAAAAAAAAGTTTAAGAAACACTGCTTTAAGGTATTTCTTTTATTGTAAGGTTTTTATTGCAGTGCTTAGGTAATCGGAACCAGTAAACATCCTGTACAGCTTACTGAGCAGACACTGAAAATCAAGTCCCTAATTACAGTGTTTTTTACACTGAGCAGTGCTCCCTGCTCTCTAAAGGAGAAGGGAAAGAAAAAAACCAAAATTCTTGCCTTTATAATTTTTATGTCCTATTGGCCATAGGATACCATATTGGAAACAGAACTATATACATCAGGTCACGATATCCTGCTGGGGCTTCTAAAAAGAAAGGTTGGAATTGCAAATCTACATCTACTGTAATTTTAAAGCAGGAATTTTACTATAATTCTTTTAAGGCAAAACTTTACGATGTGTGGACTTTACCCAGCATGGCTAGATGGGGAATTCAGGAAATTGAAATCTATATGTCTTAAAGTTGCCAAGGCTAAAAAACACTGTCTTAATCCCTGAGTTGCCTGAAGGGATTTTGACAATCCGTTCTTACTTTTGGCATTAATTTCACAAATATAAGGTATGTTTGGTTTAAAAAACCGCTCTATGTAATAAAATGTTATTTGTCACAGAACCTGTCGGCTCAAGTGCAAAATATTGGATGCATGAGCTTGTTTTTTCAAGATGCAGCAACATAAAAGCATGTTCAGCTGGGATTTCATCACCTCAGATAGTCCCAGTGAGGAACTACGTTATGTGTTCATTAAATTTGATGCAAAAAGGAAATAAGACTTTCAGCCTTGCTCTCTTGTATGCAAGGCTGCCTAATAATTTTACTTCTCCCAAATGAGGTTGCAATGTCATCTAATTACAGATTTCTTGTAGCAACAATTAAAATGTGGTGTGTATTGCCAGCTTTTCTAGCACAATGAAACACATGTTGTTTTCAGGGTGATAGTGCAGGGACAAAAATATGCTGAGAAAAAAACATCCAGTTTTGATCCCAAAGCAGAAGGCAGCAGAATAATACCTGCCAACTCTTATATTAATGTATTTTTAAGAGGAGTTCTAACATTGTTTCTTTATAATATACTAGACCCGTAAGAGGTTGAGGGAAATGGAAAATCTATTTATCTATCTCTTTTGTTTTTTCATTCAAGAGGCTGAAACATACAGCTTATTACATTACACAAATGCATTATACAACATAATAGACAAGCTATGTTCAAGGCACATCACTGAAATGAATTAGGAAGAGTTAATCTGAGGTCTAATAGCACTTTGGAAAGACAAGAGTGTCCTGTACACTTTTAGTTTAACCAAAACTTAGATGTATGAAGAATGTGCTCCCATTTCTACTACTGAAGTAAAAATCAATAACTATTCTGTTTAGATGTTGGAATGGAGATGTCACTTGGGTTTTTGGCCAATCCTGACTGACTTGAGCAAGCCCTAAAATTATGCTGCAGGAAAAGCTGATGATGACAATGATAATGACTACGCACAGCTCAATGATAGGCCAAGAGTTTTGCATTCTGAATGTTCCAGTACAATAATCTTCCGTTAAAAAAATTATAGGACATAAGAAGTCTAGAAAATTTAAAAGCTGAAGAAATCATGTCATTTAGATTGCCATTGATTAATATAAATGCTAAAGAGTGCTCAGTAGCTGAATAAAATGCTGCCTGCCAATATTTTGTTCTGATGTAGAATCAGACTAGGAAAGAGACAATTGTATACAAGAAATTCAGAGTTAGAGCACCAAATATTCAGTTAATATTAGAGGCCTCATGTAGTTTTGGTTGACCCAATGATTTTTAGAACTACTAAAAATGTAATCGGACAATATTTATTTAGATCCTCTTTGAATTCTATGTCCCATAACATACATTTTAAAAATGAGTAGCAGCACATTTTGGGTTTTAATTAAATTATTTAATATACATACTTTAGTCATGTTTACCTATTCAAAACATAATATTTTAGGAAACTCAACGATGTAAGGCATTCGGAGCTCATGATAATTTTCTTCTAATTCCTCCTTCCTCTCCCCTGCCTCTTTGTTGTACTTTCCTTAACTATACCTGTGTATATCTCTTCTTATCCAAACCGTCTATTCTTTAGGTAATTGCACTATAAGACTTTGTTAGATACTGTAGTGTCCTTGGTGCTGTCTGAGCTTGGTCATTTTCTTGCAGACGTCTTATTACCAAACTAAGTAACATAACCAGTGCTACGTACTGTACATGATTAATGGTTGTGAGCTGATGGGAGAGGGGCTCAAATTCAAAAAGAAAAGATAATAATGTATATTTGCTGAACAATCCAACTCTTATCAAAAATATTCTCATTTGAATGTGTGTGGACACAATAGAAAAAAAGAGAAAAGGACAGAGATTTTATATATATTTTTACTGTGGGTTATTTGTATAGTGCTTTAACATATCAGTATATCAAAAATCAGATCAACCTGAATCACTGTTTGCTGTGTTTGGGTTTAACACTGTAACTTCCCTGGTGTTTTAGATTCCCTCCTAGTCCTTAGGTTGCCATTTAGGAATTGTGATAGCATTATTTGCCCTGTTAAGTTAAAAAAGAAAAAAAAGCTTTTGCTTTTGCCTGATGAAGCTCATTATGAAAAATGGAAGACCAGAAATAGTAAAATTAACCAGAGACTGAAGATGTTGGAGCCACATGACTAAAAATGTTGTGTAGCTTATGCAGAAGTCGTATATATTTATGCAAATTAATGTGTATCGTTTGGATCTTGAGTTTTAGTCCTAATGCATTCTTAACTGAAAAATTAACTAAATTCAGCCACATAAATTAATTGATGAACACAATATTATAAACTGGAATAAGTGTTTATTTTACTTAATTGTATTGAATCAGAAACATTTCAGTGAGTTTGTGTTGCCAAACAGAGTGGCAATATCCATGTAAATAAATTTGGAAACAAGTTAAGTACTCTGAAACATCATTGTGGTTATATTTTATTGTTTCATATTTATGAGAGTATAGCTCTGCAGATTCTTCAGCCATCAATTCCCCCAGAATATCTAATTGTTTTTAATTTTTTTATTCTGCAGAATGGCCATATTTTTTAAAACAACTAAGAGATTGGGAAGGGAGAATTGAGTGAACTTTTCCTTGTATAAATAATTTCCAGTGCAAACATGGAAATTGACTCTTAGTTAAGTTATTTGTGTAAGTGATAGTTTACTGTCAATGATGAATTTCAACATTTTTAGTGCACATTCTTTGGTCTGAACAAGCTAGTTTCAGAATGTCAAAAAATGGGTTTTGGATATGAGACATTCACAAAACTAATCAGATGATTATATTTATGCTATACAAACATAACTATATTATTTTGCAAAGTTTTAATGCACTTGTAAACATTGTTAACAAATTGTATTAAATTCACTGCTCACTGAATAAACATTTCTATTCCATTTGTATTTGTCTACTTAAACACCAGTTACAAACTGGTGCAGTCAATTTGTTTAATTTAAACTATGGTTTTCATCAATGTGAAAAGATCCTATCAAGAAATCTGATAGGAAATTGAAATCAGTATTAAAAATATCGTTGATAAATTAATGCTTAATCTACAGTGCAGATAAGCTATAAGGGTTAGTTAAAAGTTCTTCCAGATAAGAATTTTATTGTGTAATTGCCATCTTATTCACAGCATTTATATGAGTTCCAGACATTTACCTTTTTTATTTGTAAACTTCCTACTTTTTTCTACCATTTCTAATGTTTATTTTCACTTTAAGGAAAAGAAATGGAAGAATAATGTTTTTTTAAATAGTCCTGTGCCTGAAAGCATTTTAAATAAGTGTTCTGAGTTCTCTACATCACTGAAATCAATTTGAATTTTGTTGTTCTTTGCAAGAATAGTGTCCATTTTGTAAAGAAGGTAGGTGTGTTATTATGGAATTATAATAAAATAATAGCAGTTCCAAATAGAGTGATGTGTCCTAATAGCTACGATTGTTTGTCCAGAAACCATCACAAGTTCTTAAATTATTTCACTATTATAAAAGAATCTTGAAGCTTTATCATAAAATTTCCAGCATGGAAAAGGACATATTCATCAGCTTGCCTTTAGGATATCAGTGACAGTTTATTAAACTTCTCTGAGCTGTTGAAATCTTGGAAGATTCAATTATGCATTCCCACCGTTTCTGTTATTAATTTAAGATTTATAGGAGTAAACAAATTCCAGATTTGGAGTCAGCTTCGGGTAACCTGCTGGGGTTATTCAGGTCTTCAAAGAGTCCTGTTTCAATAACTTCTTCTTGCCAGGGTATTGGGATAGCACCAGTAGAAAATCTCTTAAAGAATTCAATGTCTTTGTCATCAAATTCAATTCCCCGAGCTTCAGAAAAATCAGCAATGTCTGCAACATCTTTGGCATAAACGACTGATGGATCCGGCACAAAGGGAGGATCAATAAGACCTGCCTCCAGCCTATGAAAATTTATTGACTTGAAGTATTGATGTTTCCTGGGATCATCATCATTACTCCTGTAACAAAAGAAGAAAGTGTTTCAAATAGGAGGAAACTAGTCCTATAAAGCAAATTTATATTTAAGCATGTACTAATCATACCAGTGGATTTACCAGTGGGATCAGAAAGAAATGATCAAAGATTTGTTAGTTAATTAAGTTTGAAGCCTTCTGTTATTTCCCAAAATAACACTGCAGTGGGCAACAATACTTGATAAATAAATACTGCAGTGGGCAACAATACTTGATAAATAAATTTTATACAGATATTTATACACATATAGATACACATACACATGCATATACATATACATTTACATCAAAAGGTTTGATAGCTCCATCAACAGATTCTCTCAAGCTTACATCACATTCTGATGACCTCCTTTGGCTGAGAATGTCTAGTGTTCATTAGTTAATCTTTGTCCTTTGTGGATAACTTGGTAGCATTAAAGAAACAATATATTAGACTTCTCTAGTATAGTCCATGTTGTGGACTATAATTTTTATCTTCCTCACCCACTGGGGTATTAGTGGGCATGCATATAATCTCAAAGGAATTAAATTATATAAAAAATAAGCAATGTATTCTATAGGTCCTATAGGTAAGAAGGCCAAATCTGGCATGATTGTTGACTTGGTGGAGAAACAGTAAGCTACGCTTGTTATCAATCTGTTTCCTGCTGCAATTTCCTGGTGCTGGTAATAAAGCCCTACATGGGATGGGGGCCAATTATTTGTCCCCTCTGGTTTTTGCACAGCTGATAACCAAAAGAGTTGGTATGCATCAGGTCATTTTCTATGTCAAGTTGTCATCCTATTTTATCTTTGCTTCTTTTGAGAACAGGTAGCTCCCACGTTGATAGGATTCTGGAGAGCCTGGCTGTTCTCCAAGGCTTTGGGCTGGGGTGATAGAGCCTCTTCTGAGTGTTATTACTGGTCATATTCAGTCATCTTGTTCCTTATCTGCTTTTAACTTATTTGTTTTGCTGTTTTTGTTTTGAATTGTTATATTTTATCTTTTTTTGTTACATTGTGAGAGACCAAGATTTGGGTGAGGGAGGGTTGGACAGCACTTATTTAAATAAATTCAATTAATTTAAAAGAAGCTCTTTTGTTCACCTAGGATGGCAAGAATGCATTCTGAACCGTATTCAAAAATGTCCACGTACATAAATTTCAAAATAAATAAAATCATGTAGAATTGATTCCAAAACTGAATTTCATTACTTATGGAGAAAAAAGTGTTTTAAGACAGACAGTAAACCATCAACTGAGTAGTATTAAAAGACATGATTTTCTGTGAACATAATCATGTAAAATAAAAGAAAACGTGTAAATTTCTATGCATTCCTTCTTTTTGTAATGCTGATGTGATTAAAAACACAATCGCCAAAATTAGATTCAGTGCCCACTCCATAAAATCTTTGCTTACTGTTTTATAACCCACAGGTCTCTAGTTCAGACAGCCAAGACTATTGATATTTTTTGTGAGTTATGTGCCATCAGGCTGTGTTACGGAACAATTCTTAGAAGAAACTTAGTGGCCATCACTTTCTCCCTTTTTAGAAACTGACATTTGAGCACCACCACTAGGCCTTTGCTTGCATGTACAAGAGTCACCTAACAACATGATGAAGGAGAGTATAGCTGGACAATGTTTATTTGTTAATATTTGTTAAGAGTTCTTGTAGATCTCTACCAGAAGCAGATTTAAACAGTCTAAAAAATCTAATTCCTGGTTCACTCATGCCTACTAAATTACAATTTCTTTAATCTCAGTTTGTTAAATAAGCCATAGTTGGCTGGATCACCTACTGAACTAGCCCATTAATATGTTTAATTCATTTGTTAGATTAATAATCATATTTATTTTATATTTTTATTTAATAAACATGCAGATTGGTAAATATTTTTGAAAAGAAATCCTCAAGCACTTTTACCATTTTACTAGCATTATAACTATCTTTTCATATTACTTCTAATTATCATGATCATCTCTGAGAAAACCATTGAAATTATATTTTCTAGAACACCAACAAAATCTCAGGTGCATTCATGTCAGGCCAAGAAAACTACATGGATCTATTCATAAATACATCAAGCTCTGGGTGAACTTAACCCAGTTATTTAACTTTATCATGAATACATTGTATGTTTCCTCAAAAAAATGAATGGTTAGAAAATGAATATATTAAAGTCTGTTCAGCTGTTGTCTGGCTAAAATAAAAAACATATTCTATTACAGTTCTGCAAAAAAAAAACAAAATAAAAAACAAAAATTGTTTACAAGGAAAAAGATAGGGGAAGGGAAAGTGCAAAGGAATAAAGAAAAATGAAAAGAAATAAAGAATAACTTCCAACTTTCTTCGATACAGATGCAAAAAGTTTAGTTAACATAACAATCTTTTCTGGAGGTGAGGGTTGTGGGTCAGCAACCATTGTATCTCTCTAATATGTTCATTAGAGACATAGTTGGGAGAGTTTTGTATATGGCAGTTGATTTGCAGATAAACTAAGTCACAGTATGTATAATTATATTTGTATTTTTTATCCCACTTAGCAATATTAATATTCCAATATTAGCAAATATATTTAGGGAATATCTTCTGAAAGAGAGTCACACAATCTTTTTCAAATGCTACATCTTGGCATCTTCTTGGAACATAGCCTTCTTAATGCTTGCCCCAACAAAAATAATGCTTTTCTTTGGACAATACATTTGGCCTAATATAGTCTGTTTTCCTGCTTCTTTTTGATTAGTGATCTGTTTCTTTTTGTATGACTGTTGGAAAATCTAGTTCTACAAAACTTACATAATTGGACCTAGGAGATGAAATAGTTCACCTCTTATGACCCTTGGATTGTTGATGTTTGCTGTTAATCAGAACCTTTTTAGAGGGTCAAGTGTGCAAATTAAAGCTGCCTATAAGAAGCTTTAACTTATGCAATGCATACTTAAACAGATAACTCAAGGGCTCAATGACCTTACCAGAATCTTAAGTTAATCTTTATAAAGTTGTTCTTGAACAAAATTTCTAGTGTAGCAACCATAGACAGGATTTCTGCTGTCCCCCGATATATAATGAATGTCCCCCCCAATCTCAATATCTTATATATTGTGGCAGTAAAAAGCAAATGACAGACAAGCATGCCATTGATGAAGTTTGACAGATGCATGTATAATACTTGTAGCTATCAGACTGTTTCTGGACAAAATGAAAGAAAAAGTGTATACTCTATTCACTTTGGATGTAAACTCATTGGAAGCCCACATGTCCTGTAACTAGGATTTAAGGTTTCCCAAAAAAATTTTTTTATCTGTTTGGGGCCACATTTTGTGAGAATAAGACAGATGATATTCTCAGTGGAATTCAAGCCAGAAGTCAAGCCTCTTCTTTCTTTCTGTAATCTTCTGCAAACAGATCAAGGTTTTTGGGTTTTTTTAACCTCAAGAAATGTTTGGCACTGATTGTTGATTTTTAATTGGGAGGACTGTTTATTTTTTAATTGGTGCATTCAATCATAGTTTTAGTGTATCTATTTTAATGTTTTAACCATAAACATAACATTTTCATCTGTATTTTGCTTGTTAGCCATGCTGAGTGTTATTTTTGGCAAAGAAGGAAGAATATAAATTTAATAGATGAATAGCTCAGTTCAAATTATTAATTATGGTGACTTAAAAGATCTGTGCTTTGCGGTTAGTATTTTCAATCAACATTTTAATTCCAACATTTCCTTGTGTTTCATTATAGTTTGCATCAATTGCTCCAAACATCGGCTTTGAAAGACAATTTAACTGTTAGGGGCTAAGCAAAACCTCTTTGCCATGACATGGAAGATCACAACTGGTAAAGAATGCTAAAGCAGCACATTTGGCAGTATCAACAGCAGCATGAAAAACATCTGCACAAATAATTATTGCAAGACAATTCCCCGATCCTTTAGAGGTTAATACAACATTCAATGAAGTGGAACAAAAGGTAAAGGATCTAAAACATGCAGGCATTAAAATGTATCTCTGTCCTTTTACTTAGTAATTGGGAATATTTTCCTAATAAAAATATAGGGTGGCATTAAAAACAAGTATTACAAAATGTATTCATTTTTTCTTTAGATTGATAGTTCCTTGTGTTTATAAAGCTCCTTCATTAGAGGTGGTGTTTGGCTGCTTTATTCATAACAATGTCCCATGTTTTCCTTGTACATTTTTTTAAAAAAAATAATATATTAGCTATACCCTTTTTCCAACTATTAATTTTATTTATTTCTAGGACTTTTACACTGCTTTTTATTCAGGACTTTTAAAATTTCATTATAGTTTATAGCTGTTTCAGACCCAATTTATTGTACATGGACTTCTTATTTCATTTTAAATTCTTATTTTCTAGTTTATATTTTAGGGGGCTTTTAAAATTAAATTAAAATTAACTTTTGCCCTACCTGACATTGGTGAGTTTTGAAAGGCATCCTACAAAGTGAAGAAGGGATACATTTATGAAATGCTGGTATACAGAATATTAATATTTTAGAAACAAGAATGTAACCATAAATATATTATTACATCTCTGACTGAATAAACTTTATTTATGTGAAAAATGTTGTCCTTTAAGCAAAATGTATTTATTTAAATATTTATAAGCCATTTTATTTGGCATTTGAAGTAGTCTATAATCACTATTAAAAGCCTCTCTACAGTTCTATGAAAATCTTTGGATTGTCTGATTTTTTTTGCTTAGTTTTACTACTAAATGTTATCAGAGCTTTATAGAAATCTAATGAAATACAGAGCAGCTGAGTGAACATTTGACACCAAACACTGATACTTTTTTTTCATTTATTCCATAACCAAAGCATCCAACATGCAATGCGCATGTTCGAAAAGTATCATTGTCCCCCCTTCTCACAATTCTTACTCATTATTCTTAAATTGGCATCACAAAAAAAACCCAAAGCTTTTTTTAGTTTAATATTGCTTTGTAGTAGAGCAGGCTTGCAGAATGAAAAACTAGCCTCCTCTTTCAGAATTTTGATTTATCTCCTGCTTTGGAGTAGCAGCTTAATAGTTCTGCTGCCACCACCAGCCTCCAGGCCCAGCCTTGTCTGTTCTGCTACAAAAGGGGTCTGCAACCTTGACAACTTTAAGACTTGTGGACTTCAGCTGAAGTTCACAAGTCTTAAAGTTGTCAAGGTTGCAGACCCCTGTTCTACAGATTGATTGATCTATCTATCTATCTATCTATCTATCTATCTATCTATCTATCTATCTATCTATCTATCTATCTATCTATCTATCTATCTATCTATCTATCTATCTATCTATCTATCTATCTATCTAAAAGATATATACAGTATGGTTGCCCATTTTTGTGGCACACAACTGTTGACTAGCTAGCAACCATGATAAAAACATAAAAAAGGCAAATAACACACAAAAAAGAAAAAAAATATCAGATGAAGTTCCCTCGGATAAAGAGCCCTTTGCCCAAATTTTGTAGGAAGAGGTTTCAAACTATTATTAAACATCACAAGGAATTCTGCAGAAAAGAAATATTCTTAGGAACACAGCCTGAAATAGGTCTGAAAACAAAAACACCCAATTTCATAACTTGTTCAGAGAGGTAAAGGACATGGAACAGAAAGCAAAATCTAATTCCTAGCTATACTCGTTATAATTTCTACAGAACTCTGCCTCAGTGTTCCTGGATTTCTTCAGCTTCTTTGATATTCCAAATGTCTGAGCGATGGAAATTAGCTCTTTTCCAAAACGTATCCATATCCCACAGAGAGAGGGTTGGAGTCTCCGGCTATTTATACATAACCAAGACTCATGTCTCAGTTGTGAGGAAGTGGATTGTGAATCTGCAGTTTGGCATGCAGGCTATAATCACTACAGGCTTAACTCTAGTAACCGTGTTTAGCACCGCTACTGTTTTCATTTATAAAAAGAATACTTGAATTGAGATATATAAAATGCCAGCCCCCTTTCCTTCCTAAGAGTTCTTCCTCAAATCCTAATTTTCTGCTCAGCTTTAGCCAAAGTTTAAATTGTATATGATGATAGAATCCTTTATGACTAGTGCACAAAGATCAAGATCTTTCCTTCCCTGACTGTGTGATTTTAATATCAGACTTCGATACTGTGATCTTACTTAACATTATATATTCAAAAGCAATATGCTTCTTTTTCAACATTCTTATTTTTGCCCCCAAACCAAATTCCTTTAGAATGTCATACCCGAGGTTATAGTTATTCAACCACTTTCATCATAATATGGCATTCATTTATTTATTGTATTTACATACTGCCTTTTCACTTGGCAACTTAGGACAGGTAGGGCACTTATGGGGAATATTTTATGATATTTTATCACAAGAACCCTGTGAGAAATGGATCTAGGAGTGAAAAATTGACCCCAAATTATCCAATAAATTCTGTGGTTCAGTGGGGGAACTGAACCTGGGCATCTCCAGGTTCAGATTAAATAAAAACCAAACACTATTTGCTCAGATCCTCCTATGTGCTCTCTAATAGCTCTTCCACAAAATTCAGTAAAATGCTATTCACCAATCCTTGATCTGACTACAGCATTCTGCATCACGGAAGCAGGAACCTTCAAGGGCAACTATGCAGAATGCCTTACAGTAATCCAACCAGGGTGAAGGGGATTATTGTGGCTAGATTATCTTTGCACCCAAACAGATTTTAGCTCTTTAGCTTAAGCAGTCTTAGAAAATTCTACAGTATTGACATTTGAACTTCAGTTCCTTAAAAAAGTATGGTGGTACCATTCAATCAAAAGAAGAAGAAAAAAGGATACCTGCTTCCTAAACGATTTTCAGGATTCTTTTCCAAGAAGAGTTTGCAGATTTCTTTTGTTGGTTCATCAAAATTAGCATGCTGGAACTGCACTTCATCATTTATGGTTCTTTTTTTAACTTCATCTTTTTCAATCTTTTCTTTGTAATCCTTGAATGGTGTTCGACCAGCAATCATTTCATAAATACTGCATCCCATAGCAAACCAATCAACAGGATAACTATAACTTTCTTCCTTTAAGATTTCAGGAGCCATGTATCCATTAGTTCCAGCCTGTGACAACATAAAATAGTTTTAATAATGAGTAATCCTAATTAGTGATGCATTTGAAAGAGAAGTAATCAGTTCTTTGGATGACTTCCTTAGAGCTTCACCTTAGTCATGAAACAAAATATCCTGACACAAGGCATGGCATAGAATTTCTGACAAAGTAATCTGAAAAATATTAGTACATATGATTGGTTAAAAACAGTAGCTTTGGGTACTGCACATGTATATAGTACCAATGCTTTTTTTCTAAAAAAAGGTGCCAGAACTCACACATGTCATACAACCTGCCTTGCCTACCCTACAAGGTTCCATCCAAAAAAGGTGCCGGAACTCTGTTCTGGGCGTTCTATGAGAAAAAAAGCCCTGTATAGTACATCTCCCCCCCACCTCCCCCTCTCTCTCCCTTACACACACACACACACACACACACACACACACACACACACACACACACACATTCTACCTTCCTGACATATGCCACTCTCCTGAGCTGAAAAAATGAATAAATAATGAGATTTCTGTCTCTTACTAATCTGTTTACAAAAACTCTTTTTTCTGGCAGAGGGAATCTAGCAGTTTTAAATAAACTACTGGAAGGAACAGGGGAAGCCAAGTTCACTCCATTTCCCAGTGACGGAGAGCAGAGTTGTGCAGAGAAACTTAGAGACAAGTAGGCTTTTTCTATTTGGGTCACCTAATGTTGATTTCTCTTTGCAGGAAACCAGTAATTTTAACCAGGGCTATTGGCAAAGAGCGGAAACTTCCTCTATCCCTCTAAGACATTGGTGTTAAACTCAGATAGAAATGAGAGCCCCTAAATCTTGTATTTCTGTAGGCTGCATATTGACTTACAAAACCACACTTTTAAATATATATATTTTGATAAAACAACACATTAAAATCAGATAGGAATTAGATATAACCAATACATTAAAAAAGAGATGTATTATCATTAAGAATCTCACAATTTGTTTTCAACACTTGTATGTTTATGCATATACAGTACATGCATGCAAACACACACCCCTCCATCACCCCAATGGCCTCTTGCCAATTTATTGTGGGGACCAACTCTTTACCTCCTATTCCACCTCCATATCCCCTCTAATTTCTGACAATCCATGAGTGGAAAAAAATTGTTTTGTGCAGCTTTCCCCAAACTAAATACAACTTTATGTGTCATAATATAAGAATATAAGTAAATTGTAAATACATATAATAATAACATATTTAAATATATATGAATTTTTACTTAAAATATCAAAACTAGGAAATATATACAGTATGCCATGTACAATACATGCTTTAAAGTTGTGATTTCAAGTAATATTGGACTCCTGGCAACTCCCCTTTTTTTGCCAGCATTTTTCAGAAGTGACTTGATAATTATTTCTTTCCAGGGCTCAGAGAGAGAAGTTGCTCCAAAATCCTTCCATGTTGGGATTTAAGTACACCAACCCCTGGTTTCTAGGCTGATACTTTAACCACAACACCAAACTTGGTCCACACATATTTGTCTACAGATTATACCTACAAACGAATTAATTGCTGATAACTGCAATCAATAATTTGCAAGCTTTTAAATTTCTTTTTTTTCTTTTTCTTTTAGAATTTGATATTATAAAGAAAAATTATATTAAAAAGCATTATACAAAAAGCAGTTATTGTATATACTCATAGATAAGATGAATTTTAGATGCCAAAGAACATTGGATTTGGTTCATCCACAGATAGGCTTATACACAATTATTTAGGATAGGTTTGGCTCCTTTTTAAAAGTACCTGTATATCCATATATACTAATGAATAAACCCAGAAATCCCCAATCTTTCTGGTTCCATGGACTGGCAGCAGTGGTACAGCGATTGGAGAGATGGGATCTAGTTCCTGCGCATGCACAAATGAAGCTTCATGCACCTGCCTGCCACTTGCATGGCCCATTCCCAACAGGCTGTGGACTGGTAGAGAGTTGTAGGTCCCTGGATAAACTCATCTGCAAATAAGTTGACCCTCGAATTTTTAACCAAAATGTGATGAAAAATGTGCCATCCACAGATAAGCCAGTTATGAAAATTAAAACATATAAAAACTTCAAAAGGGTCAGAATGTCCATGAATGGCTTTATCCATAATATATCTTTGCCCATTCTTTCCTTTTCTCTGAATATATTCTGAACCTAATTAAACTTTAATTATTATTAATTTTAAAATGGAATGTTTTATAAAGTTAACAACAGTCATGGACATGTTGCAGCCTGAAACTCAATAGATATTAATTATTAAACCTTTTTTTTAAAGGAAGAGAAATGAATTCAACTTATTTTGGAAGGAGGAAGGAAATTCAACCTGTGCTGGTCTATTCTGAAGAAAGAAGCACACCTTCATGCACTGGAAGCTCATAGGGTTGGGAACAGGTCAGTCCCCAGTGCAGGGAAGAGGCACAAGCTCTGAGTTTTCCTGACTGATGACTAAAGTTATTATTTAGTTTTAAAATGCAGTATTATCCATGTTTTATTATATTTTTATTTTATTTAGTTAAATGTTTGTGAAATATATTTTAATCTGGTTTATATTAAATAATGTATTTAAAATACACATTAAAATGTATTTTAATGTGGTTTGTGCCACATCTGAGAAAGTTATGGGCTGTGCGTGGTTCATGGCGTGCGTGTTTGGATCTCTGTTCTAAGACAGGGGTCCCCAACCCCCGTTCTGTGGACCAGTACTGGTCTGAGGCATGCCAGCAACCGGTCCGCACAAACAAGCAAAGCCCCATCCGCGGGATGCAGGCAGCACACAAAACTACATCCCCTCTGGTCCGTGGAAAAACATTTCTCCAGGTAACTGGTCCCTGGTGCCCCAAAGGTTGGGGACCTCTGTTCTAAGGTGTCCCAATCTCTTATTTCTCATTGACAAATTACATTATTTCATAGTGCTCTGCTTTCCTTACATTCCTGACATTGTCATTTTTTACTCAGCAACCAGCTCACCTTTATGACTGATTGCAGCATTTCTACGTTCACATGACCAAGTTTCATGATGTGAAAGTTTCCAACTCATAGGGATACATTGATTTGCTTAACAACCACCACATTCACTTAATAGCTACAGTATTCACTTAACAACCACCACAAAAAGTCATAAAATCGGGTCTGGTCACATGGGTGCCTCAACTTAGGACCAACATGACTTATTTTTGAGCTCTATTACTGTCATATGTCAAGGACTGCCTATACTTGTATTCTTGCCTATTGCATGTTGTTTGAAAACTTTCTGTAATCAGTGATGGAAGCTCAATAACAATCTTAAAAGGAATAATTGCTAACCTAATTTGTATCAAGGGGAATTGCTGATATGTTAAAAAACAAGTTGAATAAAGTGTAAAAATGTGATACATACAGAACAAACAAACGAAAATATCTGAAACAAAATTATGGAAAAACTGAGGGCATCTTGCTACAAAATACTACTTGTATTTAGCAACTTTTTAATGTAATAAATATTATTCAGCTAACTGTCAAACTGCTTACAGAATCACACTGGCTAACTCCATTGCAGGAAAAACAGCCTAACCCTGTCATCACAACAGTAAGGTGTATTGTCCACATTTCTTTTATATTAACAGGTATGTCTATATACAATACTTAAAAAGAGGAAAGAGCATTTATTAGGAGAGAATATAATAAAGGAGCTATTAAGTTTTAAATCCTGTTTAAATGTGTAATCCTTTTGAGTAAATATGGAGTGTGTATGTTTATAATGTGTATGTATACTCAGGGCTTTTTTTCTCATAGAACGCCCAGAACGGAGTTCCGGCACCTTTTTTGGATGGAACCTTGTAGGGTAGGCAAGGCAGGTTGTATGACGTGTGTGAGTTCCGGCACCTTTTTTTTTTTTTTTAGAAAAAAAGCACTGTGTATACTCAATAATCTACCATTTCACTTCTAATCTGCTGCAGAGCTGTATATCAATAACCTTGAAGAAGGAATGCAAGAGTGATTACGTAAACATGAATTGAGCCCTGAAAGAGAGGATAGAGTGAAAAAGAGACTCAGGATTATCCCGTGTTGATTGTCTTGTCAGGTTTTCAAGATTCTGTTATTATCCCATGATAATTAAATGGTTCTTGTGGTATTTGTTTTCTAATATTGCCTACCTCAAGAGCTGACATCAGTTTTGAAAGCCTTGCTATTCAGAAACCACCAACAGACTATTACAACTACATGGAATCAGCATAGCACAGAGGTCCCCAACCTTTTGGGCAACAGGGACCGGTTCTGTGGAGAGAGGCTTTTCCACAGACTGGAGGGTGCATGGTTTTGTGTGCTGCCTGCATCCTGTGGATGGGGCTTTGCTTGTTTGTGCAGAACGGTTGTTTGCATGCCGTGGCCCAGTACTGGTCCATGGACCGGGGGCTGGGGACTCCTAGCGTAGCACACAAGCCAACTAAACTCTCCAAAACAACCTAAATAAACCAAAAGACCCAGCAGCCCTTAGAAGGGAAAACAGGAGCCATCTACATCATACAGTGTAATGAATGCAACAGCCAATATGGAGCACAAACAAGCAGACAACTGGCAAAACACATCCATGAACATCAACTAGCAGTTAAAAGACATGATGAAAACTCTTTAATTTCACAACATATGGACAGACTGAACCATAGTTTCAACTGCGAAACTGTGACCATCCTAGACCAAGCCAAGTCCAAAAAATGGTAGAGAATTTCTAGAGACCTAGCATTCTGACAAATTAGCCATCAATAGACACATAAACATAAACAATATCTACTGTGCAAAAGAGACAATCAACCAGCCAAAAAGGGAACAAAAAGACCAAAACACCTCCTTACCAGCAATCAACAAACAGATGAGCATTGATGAACTCCAAGATTAAAATCAGACCAACAATAAAGAAGTAAACAATACCCCAATTAAGGGATTACCAAATAAGCTAACAATAAACAGTCCAACCAAAGAACATCCAAGACTACTCCCACCAACACGGACAGGGTAA